TAAACCTACGTAATTAACAATTTAATTAGATAAGAGTCAGAAATATTCCGTAATAAATTTAGGGAAATTTTCCTTTTCAGAGAGGAAATTTTAATTATTTTATTTAACAATTTTTCTTTAAATAATAATAAATTTAAGAAGAAATTTTAATTCGGTGCCATTCTTTTTTCTAAAACTGCTCGAAGTAATTTTATTTATGACGGTGGTAAACCAGTCTCCCCTTTTAACTAACCCCGAAACAGAGCATATTTTGCCTTTAAGAGAAGCGATTAGAAAAGGGGATAATTACAGCGTGTCAGAAAATTCCCACTAGTGGTGGAACCCGGATTTTTTTTTACTTTTTTTTTTTATATAAAATTTGCAAAAGTGCTCACGACTGCAGTATAGTCATCAGCCACTTCCTTTGACACGCACATTCAGCAGGCGGTTCATCACGTGAACGACACGAGAGGGCAAGCAGTTCGCACGCTCCGGACCATTGTGGCGCAGGAAACCATGACGTTCCCACACGTGAACAACCCATGCCAGTGACACGTGGCTTTCTCCATGCCTGTGACCCCGTTAGCCATGGGAATTGAAGGAAACGAGCTGACGGGAGGGGCTACCCCCAAATAGCTTCGTTGTAAAAAAAGAAAAAAAAAACAAATACCAATTTCTTTCCAAGGTGCAAAGAAATGTTTTCCATCAAATATTTAATTACAGGAAGATTTCCTTCCATCGGATATTTCTAATAAGCGCTAATTTACTGATATAATTAATGTTTTTTTTTTACAGAATTTATCACAAAAATCATTATTTTTAGTGAAAAAATTTTTCTTTAACATATCCCTAAATTTTATTGCATATTTTAAAACTCGTTTAAACTTAAAAAACTATAATAACAGGAATTTATTTTCCCTCGATACGGAATAAATTCCCTTACCGAAGGGAATTCCTTTATTAACGGAAATATCCCTCGGGTTAAAAATTTGGGGAAAAAATCATGTCTTTGTTTCTAGAAAGGTTATTTGTTTAATTCATGAAAATGTTAGGAAAAAAATTAGGGATATTTTACGTTTAATTTCCAAAGTTGCGCTATAATTTTCTTTAATAATTTATCCCTACGCCTTTCAATTATAAAGTATTTTTAATAAAATTATTTTTGAAGTTATTCTTTCCCCACATTGTTGCATCATTATGAATTTATCCCTGTTATACATTTAATATCCTTGCAATTTAGAAAATTTTACGTTTTTTTAAAAAAATTATCCTTATTAATTTTGTAATATTCCTACATTTTCATACAAATTTAGGGATATTTTTCTTCACAACTTTGTTTCGTAAGAAAATATTCCCTTACTTCTTTACAGATAATTTCGAGGTTATTTTAAAATGTTTTAAAGGAAATTCCCTTATTTGAATTTTAAAACGATGACCATTTTAATAATCTTAAATGCTATTATTCCCCTTGATATTAATTTGAAAATTAACATAAGAAGAGCAAAAAGAATTAGAGATTAAATTTAAGGAAATTTTGTTTTTAGATTAGGGAAACTTTACGAGATTATTTACGTAAAAATTAAAATATCTGTGTGATAAGTAGTGTCTTTGAGAGATCGATTAAGGAAAATCTTTCCCAAAGTTCACGTAGGGAAATATCCCGGAAAGTAATTAAAGACGAGTATAACACGATAGAATTAGCGAGGAAAATAAAAATGGCCGTTTAATAGTTCCACTAAGGGAAATATCCCTCGGGGATATTCCGCGCAGGGAAATATCCCGGTAAGTGATTAAAGATTAAAACGTGAGAGAATATTACGTTATTAATTAGCGGGGAGGGGAACGAAGGACAAAAAGAAAGAACGAGATATAGAGAGAGTGAATGAAACAAAAAGTAGCACACGGCTAGCTAATTGTCAAGTGCAACAGCTGGAGCATGCACATTGCATCCCATCTTTTATCGGGACGTTCCGGTGTCTAGAAAGAGAGCTTGGGAAAGCACGACTGCTTCAGTTCACACAGTTTGGGTGTCGCACTCCCCGCCGTCAGCACGAGTCTGTGCGTGTCCCAATAAAGCTAAGCGTACGCCGTTGATAACGCACACTCTTTCATTGTTGTTGCTGTAGGCTCGTTTGGTAAACTGAACCTTACCGATGGGTCCTTGTACTCGACAAATAACTACGCTCTTTGCCGAGTACAAAAGGTCACGTAGGGCCTTTTAAATTTTATAAAAGGCCCATTTTTTTACGTTGCAAGGCGCATTTATTTAAGGTCTTCTCATAAAAGAACTGGTTTTAATATCAAAGAGCCTGAGATGTGTAACGATTACAGAAGGCCTTCCTTGCTCTAATGAGAAACGTGTGCCCTTGCACTAAAGTTTTCTTCTACTTTAATTTAAGTAGAAATGGTATACGCCATTACTGAAAGGTTTTTTTTTCATTCTGGGCGAGCGATCACATTCTCGAAAGTGATTTCTGTTTTAGAGGTTAGAGGCATTTCTAAAAGGCCCCCTTTTCTTGTTTTAAAACATTAAAAGATATCTTTAGTTAGGATGTTTCTATTAAAACTGAGCTTTGATATCAGAGGATGAGATATGACAGCTTATAGACCTTCGTGTACTAGATAAAAACGAGTATTTCGAAAGGGCCTTTCAGTTTCGAAGTAATACGAGACACGTCTCTGGTTAAGATCTTCGTATCAAAATGAATGTCGATATCCAGAAGCATTGTATGCCTTTCTTGCGCTATACAGAAAAGCATTTTCTTGTTCAAAAGTTTTCTCTGACTGAGAATGGCGTATGCAATTACAGAAAGGCCTACCTTCCATTCTAGATGATCGCAGCTCTTTCTCGAAAGAACCTTTTGATTTTCAAAAAGGTCTTTTCTTATTTTTAAACATTATAAGGCATCTCTGGTTAATTTCATCCTATAGAAAACTAATAATGATATCAGAGAGCCTAAAATATATAGCAATTATAGGCCTTTTTTATCATACAGTATAGGATGAATATGCTATATAGAAATGCTTTTAATATCAAAGAATGCCTCCTTGAAGCAAAGGGAAATAAGGAATTTTGCAATTCAGAATGGTATAAAGAGCTTTAAATTTTTATTTAAAAGAGGCCTTTAAAATGAAGGAACGGATGCGTTCTACAAAGGCCCTAAATAATTAATTAAGACCTTGATTTTATGATCGTCTTCAGTTGAAATGATGTTTGATTTCGGCACAGCTTTATTGAAAACTTAACACTTCCAAAGCTTATCCGAAGGGCCCAGGCCTTATCGGAAAAAACCCGCTAAAATGCAGATAATAATTAGCATATTCAGTGATTTTTATCAGTAATCATCGGGTAATTAACTCTATGACGCACAAGAAGTTCCAACTGGATCAGGGTGACGACTGCTGTGGGATGCAAACACCCCACTTTGGATCCTTTACAAGAAATTTATCTTTCTAGCAAGGACAAGGTTAAGGAGGAGGCCAATGTCGGGCATAAAATTCACTCATCTAGAGCAGAGATACCTGTCTGAGAGGGGAAGATCAAAGTTCAGTTAACTAGATTCAATGGGTGAAGAGGTCTCGTGTTCCTGTAGAGTCCTTGAGTTTGGAGAGCCTAAAAATAAATTGTAGCAGCGTAGGTAGGGGAGGGCGGAACGTTAGCGCCTCTGTAAAGACACCAGATTAATTTCGTTGTCGTCGTTATCGTATTGAATGACAACATAGTATTTGGGTCAACGCATCAATGAGCCCTTTCGAGTCAACAACAGCCTTCTATCCCTTCCTCGTGTAAACTTAATGATGCGCGCTTTGTCTTCGTCATGCAGCTTTACGACACTAGTTTTATACACCTGTACAATAAAAGTGAGTGTATTTTTCGCATGGATACTCTCTCTGTGCGTTACAAAGGATACAAACCGATGCATTCTTATATGCTCTTTGCTCCTGATTAGTGATACCTCCTGTGATCATTAATCAGGCGATTCTTAGCTCGACCTTTAGGCTATTAACTAACCTGTATTATATGAAAAACTGCCCAATTTATCTTACCAAAAAAAGAATGCTCGCCTAAGGAACCATAAAAAAGTTCTTACATAAAATTAAAGAAAAACATGAAGAACTGTATTAAAATGGTATGGATTTTAAGGAAGGATAGGGAAGAATTTTTAAGAAGAAATTCCCTAAATGGTATATTTATAAGGAATATAAAAATCTTACCAAATCATCCCTATAAATCTAACAATTTTTAGGAAATTGCTCCAAACTTGAATGAAAACTATACCATTTTTAGAGGAAATTTTACAGAAATTACTACTGAATTCGTTTACAAAACAATATTACTCGAAAATTTGGGATTAATGCCACATAAAAATATAAACTACGCAATCTAGGAAATTATAATCTTTAAAAAACAAGAAACAACAAATTTTTTGACATTTTTAACATTGGGATTCGTGCAAAAACAAATTTTTGTGGGTTTGATAAGAAATTCAGCAATTGTAGGAAAAAGAATGGCATCCTTTAAAAGATGCCACACTCCTTTATGGAATTTCTGAGAAATTAAGCCACGCTGCACGCTGGAAATACTACAGAATTATCTCCAATTGAGTCATAATCATTGTGTCAATGGAAAACAACTGCACCATTTTAAGAAATTTGGGATCATAAAAGAATATAGGAATTAGCATACCGTGTTGTTTTGTAATTTAGAAAAATTCAGGATCATTATTAATGAAGAGTCAACAAAAGTTGATGGAAATTCAGGAGAAATCATCGTTAGAGGAAAAGAGAATTAGCATTAATGGAGATTCAAAGGAATTTTTAAAGTAAAATGATAAATTTCCTAATAACTGTAAGACCCTTTGGTATAAAAACCCCGTATAAAACTACACCTCAAACAGGGAAACTATGCAGGAAACCCCTTATTTCTGTTTATTATTCTACACGAACGTAACTCCTTTAGACATCATGCAAGTATCACTTTATCATACTTCATCAAATAGTTAAATTCAAGCCAGATTCACCACACACGAAGGCATTTGTTAAGAGAAATCCTTAGATAAGTAATCAATTTGAAGGATTTAATACAAAATCCCTTTAAAATAATCGAATTTTAATGATTGGAGGGATCGCATTCTCGAAAATTAAGTAGATGGTTTCCACGAGAGGCGAGATATAGTCCTCTCACCCAAAATGCCAAAGTTCGTTTCCTAGTGTTTTTCAACTGATAATTTCGTCTGGAAAGAAGGGCACGCGAAGAGCCCCGAGAGCTAGAATAATGCGTCGATGCTTAAGAATAAAATTAAAGCGATAGGGGGCCTTTCGGGGTCATCATATGCCTTAGGCACCCCGTTGTTGGAAGAAATGTAGTTGTCTAGAGCACCTCCTTGGGGTGAAGGCTACTGAATAAGTAGATGAGGTCCAGTGGCAAGTGCCTTCGGGGTTCTGACCTTCCGCTCGAGACGGTAGGGGAAAAGAAAGCGGATGTTAACCCCCCTCGTGCTTAAATTAATAAAAACACAAAAAAAAGAAGAAGAAAGCACGTGGGACCATCCACCTACGAATTGTGTTTGTAGAAGAGTAAAATGAGTCTCAGATAAGAGCTTCCAGCCTAATCTGGGAATTTCAGGCCATCATCACGATATTAAATTCCACGCTGAGTAGTCTAGTCACGTGGGAGTAGGATCGTGACGTCACGCTGGCCAAATCGGTCACGTGCTCCAGTCGCCTCCGGTGAGGTCGGTAAATAAACATTCTCCCCGAACCGTGGGAATTGTGCATTTTCCGTGGTTACGTGACAATCCATTTCGTGCGTGTGGAGGGGGTTCAGACGAATTTCCGGGCCCGGTAAGCGCGCGCGCGCCTTCATCTTTTTTTCTCCCCCCTGTATTTCACTGCCCTCCGGATGCGTTGGCCCCTTAATAGGTCACAATGGGGCCTTTATCGGATCGTGTAGTGTCCAGTGATGCGTCGTGTGCAGAGGGATTGTTATCCGACATCCGTTCATCCAGTCAAGTTCATGACTGGCAAAATGCCAGCGATTGGTAGTGGTTGGTTGAACACGTGGGTTCGGTTCCCACGACCCAACTAGGCAACGTGTGGCGCCGCGTGCCTGACTCGGACGTGGCATCACCTAGGATGCAACGGGGTGTCAAGGGTGAGTGACACAGACATCCGACGTTTGTGTCTCTTCGCACAGATGCATACAAAAAGCCCTCCGTATGCCGTACACACACATCTTGCACAACCTCGACGTTTGAGGTTATCGTTAAGGCTGCAAACCCCCCTCGTACCGGATCCGGTTACTTCTGCTTTGTCACTACGTTTGCACTCGAACAAACTTTCCAATTAGAAATCAGCCAGTTCCTTGTGTTGCGCCCCCGAATCATTTCCCAATTTTTATCAGTTCGACTTTTGTCTGCGGGGGGAAGCGTGACCCGGGGAAATCGAGCTGTGAGAAAGTTCGACTCTGATTCGCGTTGACGGAGAACGTCTGTGACGTCACGTCCCACGCGTGCATCTGTCACGGTCGGAAAGGACCAATGGGGAGACGGTGCAGGGGCGAGTTTTTAGAGCGAGCGGCGTGAGAACCGTGGCCACAAGCACGTGCGTGACCGAGTAAGGAACATTATGAGACGGGATACGAGTGACATGGAGTCGGATTTTGACGAGGTCTTCACAGACGATCCCTCAAAAGGGTAAGTTCTTTCACGTTTTCTACGATACGAAACCCCTTCTAAGCTCACAGAACCCTGTCTTATGCTGCGAAACACCTATCTGTGCCTTACGCAATTGCGAAATTTAATTGTGATGCGCTTCCTGTTCTTCTAAAACCCGAGCACCCTTAGTGTTGCTAGTGGCACCATCGATGGCGTTACTTTAAATGGTACCTTTGCCATCGCGCCAGTATCAAGGTTTTAATTTGGTAACCTCCTGGTTGCTCTAGGTGTTTAAATTTATATGCATTACACGCTTAAACTAGTTTTTACAAGAAACAAAAGCGGGTGACTCATGGTGTAAATAAAAAAAATGAAGCCACAGAATGCCTCTAAGCTAAAGTTTTAGTACTTTTACATAGTTTTACCCTAAAACAATCAAATGCTGCGCGTTATTCCGCTTAATTTTAGGAATTTGTGGATGTCTGTAGGAGTGTTAGGGATTTATGACAGTTTTTTATTGGTTTATAGACGATTTTCAGGAATTGTGTCTTTATGGAGAGGTTTTAAGAGTTTACGAATGTATATTAAAGGGTCTTAAGGGTTTCTAGACGTTCATGAAGATGCGTATGGAGATATTTTAGGACATCTTGTAGTAGTTTTATGGCTGTTTATAAAAGATTTTAGATGCTTATGAATGTTCTTAGATGAGTTTTTAGAAATTATAGATACCTGTGAAAATATTTAGAGGTTTATGGAGAGAAGAGACTTTAAAGATCTTTTCAGGATTATAAATGACCTAAGTGGATGATATCAATATCCACAAACCCTAAATATTTAAGTATGTTCTGCTAAAGAGAATTAACAGAGCATATTTAAGGTTATGTGTAGCTAATGACTGAAAAAGTAATTCTAAAACTAACAGTTCCTGTTTGATGTAGATATTTGGCATATGTTAATTCCTCCCTTTAATTGATGTAATTACTCAGTAGAATAACTGTAATCTACTGCATCGCTCAAAGAATTATCGCAGAGCTTCCACTTCATGTTAATTATCTACATAGATATAATTACGCTGTCCATTTCTGTACAGTAAACAATGGAATATGTTCCGTTGACGTGTGTCGCCACTCCGCTTTTTAAACACTTATTGCATGCCGCTACGTAACAGGTACTATTGTGAAGTTGACGTTTCATTTTTCTGGGAACTTTCATAGATCAAAATCAGGAAAATGGCAAAAAAAAAATAACTGGTTTGAGTTATAGTGTCTTTTTTATCTATTATTTTTGTGTTTAATTGTTGGTTTATATTAACAAGAGACAAAATTCACTTTTATATGTAATTTTGTTTGTCTCTTGTTAAACTTAAATCAAGACTGTAGTTTAATTTCTATCCTGTTTTTAAAGTTTTAATGGCTGAGGTTTGCTTAAAAAAATATACTTTAGTCATCAGATTTAACCAGAATATAGTAGTACGACAACTATGTTGCAACAAAATTGACAAATTAGATTGGATAAAAGCTAACTCTACACCAACTGAAGCTTTATTTATAACAAAAACTATAATTTATGCTGATAAGCTCAAAACTGTTAGAGATTCTATCATCTTTTGAGTGAAATATATGAAAATTTTTACTAACTGAAGTAACAAATTCTAGCTATAATCTTAAACAATTACATGCAAGTGTTATGAATGAATAAACTACATTGTCAACTGAACTGCAAACTCACACAATTCTGGTGCAACCTTTTGTTAACTGCTGTCCTAGAAAATATGTATGAAATTATTGTTCTTTGTTACTAGACTGTTTAAGCTTTAAACATGGTCCCAATAATCATTTTTCTTTCATTGTTACATTACAGATCTGCCACTCAAATTAATTCTAGAAGTCAACTGGTCACCAGGAAGAGAAGAAGAGGGGTGAGTTTGATGAACTATTGTCATAAATTGGGCATTACTGTTCAAGCAGGAAGCTAAACTGTTAAATTTGTGGTGTGTTAATTCAAACAAAATTCCATACATATAGATTATTGAGAAGAGACGAAGAGATCGCATCAATAATTCTCTTTCAGAATTGAGGCGCTTGGTTCCGGCTGCCTTCGAGAAGCAGGTGAGTGGCAATTTGGCTTTAAATATGAATTTGGAAGTTGTTTGCAACATCATAAAATTTCACTTTCCTTTCTTTAGGGATCTGCTAAGTTAGAAAAAGCTGAAATACTGCAAATGACTGTGGATCACCTTCGTACGCTTCATTCCAAAGGTAAAGAAAGCTTTGATATGCACACTCTATCAACACTTCAAATTATCTTAATCTTTGATTTAGAGTGTATAAACTAATGATTATTTTCAGGTTTTGACATATTTAACTCTAACCCAAATCAATTTTCCATGGATTATCACAACATTGGTTTTCGTGAGTGTGTTTCTGAAATAGCACGCTACCTGGTGGGAATGGAAGGAATGGACTTGCAAGATCCTCTACGACTGCGGCTCATGAGTCACCTCCAGTGTTATGCTGCTCAGAGAGATCTAGCCATCAAGTGTTCAAACCCCTGGTCTCCCACAACGCCGATCATCCCCGAAAATCCAGGATCAACCTCTCGCTACGAATCGACATCTTCGCTGCACGTAAACAGAGATTGCACCCGATCCACGGGAGAGGAGGCGATGGCCTATTCACCACCGAGTTTCTCACATGCCACTTCTAGTTCTTCAGCACCAGTCAAACCATACAGGCCGTGGGGAACAGAGTTGGCATACTAACACAATGCTTATTTATTACATGTAAATAGTGTCTATATATTCATAAAGTGAGATTGTAAGTTTTAAATCTGTTTATAGATCTTGAGAGGATATAACTAAAACAGGCTGAAGAGATTACTTGTGTGTTACTTAAAATTTGGCAAGTTGTGTATTTTCAAAATTGTAAGTTAATAAATAATTGTTTTTAGTGGATTCATTTTAAAGTTTTGTATAAGTGCTGAACACTTACAAACCTTTGATATATTCGAAAAAGAAATACAAGAGTTTCTAATGTAACAAATGTAAAATTTTCAAGATTATTAAATTAATAATGAAAATTTACATTTAGATGCTCTTAAATTATCATTTATACAATACGAATTCAGAGTCTTGTTTCTATTACAAAGCTGCTATTTCATCTATGTTATGATGAAACAAGGCTCTCAAATTATATAAATGAAAAAAGAAGACTCGAGCCTTGATCTCACTTGCCCATTTTCAACTTGCAGTGACGAACAATGGTGGCATATGTTTGGTGGCAGCACTATAAAACTTTATTCCATTAGAAGTGATAGCATTTGTGGCTATGCAAATAGCCAATTGGAGATGCTAAAACATCAGCCAATTAGATGCACAATCACCTTTTTAGACTGATATAGATTCTATCATGCTGATGATAGATATACGCTTCCATTTTGGCTATCAAAAGCAGTGAGTTTTAGTGCAAACATTTGACACCAGAACTTTCCTTGGTGGTCAACAAACTGCTAGGGTGATTGTTACCATAGTAACTGCTGCTGGAAACTTGCAATTGGAATCAAGGCTTTACATTATTTAAATGATAAGAAAGTAGATTCAGAATGTCATCTATATATAAACTAAGAGCTATATTTCTGTTATAACACACTTCATCTATATTGATGTTACAGAAATAAAGCTCTTTAAAAGTATAATTTATACAAATTACAGGTCTTATTTCTGTTAGAAGTATGTATGACAATGACAAAAACAAGATAAAAATGATGAAATAAGGCTCTTAAGCTGTGTTAATAGTAAAAAATAAAGTTCAAAACTTCATCTATATTAAATTAGAGCCTTATTTCTAATCTGATGTTCTTTGTGTGAATGATATAGAAATAACTCTTAAACTCTTATTTATAAGATTAATATCCTCATTTTTGCACCATTTACTTAATGGTATAAAATAAGACTCAAATTGGAAATAAATTTGTACAGAAGGAAATTATCTTTTCAACAAATTGCCAGATGATGGTACCACATCATCTCTTGTAGGAATTTTGGTAAATCTGTAATCAAAGAAACATTTTTACATGATAACTTCAGCCGAAAACTGTCACATAAAACAACGGAAATTAGTAAAATAAGCTTTATTACTATACACAAAATAGAAGCGGGATTTCTAAATATATACATAATATAAAATATACTACAATATGGCGAGAGAGATCATCTCATTTTGGTGTGGATCGGTTGCAATGTAAAAATAAGAATGTAGGCTAGCAATTTTGAACCTGTTCAAGAATGAAGGAAGATAAATTTATGAGTGGCAACGAGCAGTTAACTAAATTATACAATAACCAAAGTTCGAAGAATTGAATAGAACGTGCGCCGTCCTTAGAACATTCATTCCAACACAAAGAAAACGATTGTTTTGAATAAATGTGTATATGTATTTTTGTAATTATAATTTAACTAAACAAGAACTTTATATATACAAGTGTAAATATATAATTATATATACGTATTTGTATAATTTTCCTATAAAAAGTTTAAATAATTATGTGTTTACAGCCTGCGTCTCTCGCCGGGTAAGTCTTCTACCACAATGCAACTACAGATAAGATCGTAGGCAGTTCGATTGAACTGAAAGAAAAACATGGGGAAAAAAATTGGGAAGAGAAACGCCATGAAAACGTTCTTAATAAATGCACGAACGATGGCCCTGAAATTAAACAATAAATGTAGTAGTCATAAAAAAATCAGTAAATTAGAGCAAAAAGACTGATTTCGATTGCATTCATACAAGGTAGATGTGTTCAGGACAATACATTTTGGCTCAAACGATGCATCACCACATCTCAGGTAAAAAATATTTGAAAATGAATGCAAAATGGAATGATACGTACCAACCGAATCCAATATCTCTGGCAGGAATAACTCTAATGTGATTGTTATCCATTTGTTCCACGCTTGAACAGGAAACAACTCTCAGTCTCATGATACTCTTGCCGGGAGTCGCCCCGCCGGGAGCGATCGTACCGTGACTGACGCAGAGTGCCTAGAAGAATATTTAAATTTGAAAATAATTAATTACATTTATTAGATTTCACAGAAGAGTATATACAAAATAAAAGTTTAAAAAATGTTTAATGCATGATATGAGATAAAAATAGGAACAAACAAAAGGAGTTTTTTTTGTTAACCGAATCCATAAGTGGTCTGTGGACTGATATTATTACACAATTGTTAATTATATTAGTATAATTAACAATTATACTGTAAAAAAGTATGAAGTAGTTGATTTTTAAACAATGTCTTGATACTAATCCTTTTGCCTCTATGTCCTTACTTTTATCAATTGCTATTTGTATCCTTGTCTACTTTGGACTTTGTTTTTTAATAGGACTTATTACACTGGTGTAGTTTCTGTTTAGCAAATAGAGGATTCTTTGGCAGGTGAAAATAAAGATATTTTGTTTTGAATTTTTGACTAAAATCGCCTTTATTTGCTAAACAGAAACTACACCAGTGTAATAAAGTCCTATTAATAGACAAAGTCCAAAGTAGACAAGTATACAAATACAAATGTCTTGATATTTCTGTACAATTTCTTAGCAATAAAGATGATAAAAAAGAGGAAACCCCCTTCTAAACTGAGAAGCATAGCCTTTTCCCACCTTAAAAACAAAGACAGAACTATATCTGAGTGTTAACATTGCAATTTCTGCAATAAAATCTCTACAAATTCTTGAATTGTCAAGATCAACATCTGCTGTTCTTCAAATGATAACAGCAATAGAAGCATTTTAACCTTTTGCCAAGTGGATGGCAATTTTTTCCACAAACAATCACATGTTTTACTTTTAACAACATTCTGAATTTTCTTATTTTATTTTGTTAATTTGATATGTTAATATGAATTTACATAGGTTTTTTATTTTTCTATACTGTTTTTCAATTAAGACATTTATTCTATGAATTAAGTATCTATTTTACAAATACATATTGCAGAAAATTTGTTTTATTGCATGTTGTTTGTAGATGAACCTTTTACATTTTTCACACAGAAGAATTTTTCTTACATCCACACTAGAAACATGTATCAAGTCATTTTCTTCCATTTTGCAATTCTCAGGACAATATTTTTGAAGAAAGACTGTGATATCACATGGAAGGGATGATCTTGAAATAAGAAGCTCTTTTATTAGTTGTATAGACAAGTTTTCCAGTAAGATTCCTCTTCTTACTTGATCCTGTCCAGGATTGTTCACCACAAAAATTATTCTTGCATTTATTCCTGCAATATTCATAATTACAAAAAAAAAAAAAAAAAAACAGTTAACTGCATGTTATGTTTTTACAGTCCCTTTCTCTTCCAAATTTACTGGAAACACTGTTGATGTATTTATTAGTGCAATCTACATCTCATCTATTATGTTCATATCCAAAACTTTGATAAAAGCTTCAGCTTCTGATTAAATGTTTCTAGCTTCACTTCTTTGTCCAGGAAATATCTTTTTGTCTAGTTTTAGTCATTTTCAAATTTGGCTTTTTATTCCACTTTGTACTGTTTTCTCTACATAAATAGTACTGGCAATCATTGTATTCAATTATCATCTTTATCTTCTCAGCTATCTGATAAACTTGTATCAGTGTCAAGTTCATGATTACTCAATTTTCATCATTTCCATCATCTTCACTTTTGAACATTCCATCATCACAGATATCCATTTCGTTTCATCACCATCTTTATTAGATAATGCTTATTTTAAAACTTCTAGCATTTCTTCTCCTTGAAGTTGTCTAGGCATTGCTTATAATGTACATGTAAAGATCACACAAAAACCACAAAAAGTAGAACTAACTTGTAAACAAAAACTGCAAATGCACATACGTGCATTGTAAAAAGTACTGTACAGCAACTGTCACCTAGCTTTCGCAATTGCACAATAGTAATGGAACTACAAAAGGATGGTAAACATATACTTTGCATATACTTAGAGAAAGTATTGATGAAAGAATACTTAAAAGATGAAGAAGCATGAACCAATGTCAAAAATGATGATAACAAAAAAGTAAGTGTTGTACTTTTTACAAACAGTGCAAGTGCCGAAAGATTAAACTAAAAAAAAAAACTGTCTTTTTCCCTTAAGAATGAAGACAGAACTACATTTGAGAATTAAAACTACAAAACTTTTGGAATTATTAAGTAATGTCTATACAAATTCACAGCTTTGCTAAAATCAACCTGTGTCCTTTTTTTATTTTTGGGAAACTTTGTTAAATCTTTGTTTGCTAATCCTAATTCTATTATTTTTACATTTTGAATGAAGAGTTTACACTAAACATACCTGATATGACAACCAACCTCTAATATATTAACAGTGTAAAGAACTACATATAAACCAGTAGTCAAAACACTCAGGAACACCATGTATGTCTTGTGTTCCTTTCAAACAGTATATGAGCTGAAGTTAGTCCAAATAAAAGCCTGAAAACTGGTTTGAATCTGTCATCCAAAAAACTAAATCAATATTGGCATACAAACTGCTTATTCATCTCCTTTTGTGATCGTTTGACAAGTTTATTAGGAGTTGAAAATATTTAAATTTTTCCTGAACTGGTTTGTTCAATTGATCAACTTTTTCCTTAATATTTCCAGTCATAAATAAAACCACTTCACATTTGAAATGTCTGTGTCATGTAGTACGAGCCATACAACATTTTGCTTTGATCAGCATTTGTTTCCTTAATTTATAGTGATTTATATGACATTCACCTAGCTTAAGTCTGCGTATATTGTATTTTGTTATGACTATGTAAAATTAAGTACATAAAGAAGCAAACATGAGTTCTGAACTATCCAAAACTATTAATTTATGGCCTTTCTAACTACATCAACAGAGAGTTTTGAAAGATTTCTGTATTATATAAGCATCTACTAGTAAGCTTAATATCTCTTCAATTAGGGATTTTTCTCATATACTGCAAATTTTTTATTGTGCAAATATCAAATTTAATAAGAAGTTACACAAGATGCTTCTATCTCAAAAAATATTTGAAAGATCTCCCATTTTTATATCATTTTTAGAAAAAATAATCAAAATTTCACAACATCCCTCTGATAATAAATAGAAAATTCATGACTAAGTAATGAACCAATGAAGGTAACTTGCCAGTTTGGATAAAGTCATTTTCTATTCACACTTACTTTATAAGGTTTTATGTATGCCGATATAATTTTCTTTGTCATACAAACCATTTTTTCTTTACATTTTTATTACTTAGTCACGAATTTCTTATACTACCAGGTGCACAGCCATTAACTTTAATTATATTTGTCTAGAAACAAGAGCTGAAAGTTTGGAGGTAGATAAAAAAAAAATCTCATTTTGACTCAAGGTGTTTCTGAGAAGTTGTTCTCATCATTCATTTATACTCAAGTTTATAAGGTTCTATTCACTTTAATTTCTATTTATTAAATTGAATGTTGTATTTTTGAATGTTCTTGTGTTTTTAATAATTCAGAAAATAGATAAAGTGAAATTTTGTAAAATTTGTTACTTTGGGAATGTTGTAACTAAGTTAAACTAAATTATTGCCTAATGATACAGTTGAGGTACAGTTCTATTTAAAAACTCATAAAAATAAGTAATTTAAAGCTCTCAATAAAGCATTTTAAGTATAGGGAATAAATTAATAATGAATTTTAAGGTGTAAATGAGAAATACACAGCTGAGTAGAGAGATCCTTTAGATTGTTTGTTTACTGTGCAAAATTGTAGAGTAAGAACATCTGGCAGAAGACTGAGAAAGGGTGTGACATTTGTATTTAAGAAAAATTGAACAGCATTTGGGACCTCAAGGAGTGATAAGGACAAATGTAATTAATTAATTAATTAATTAATTTAATTAAATGTAATTAATTAAATCAAGAATTACCTGTCATGAGTGAGAAGGATTTAGTTTCAATTTAAACTGCAGTAAGGGAATTCGAAATAAGAAGTTATGTTCAAATGTAGTTTGAAAAGTTCACTTTTGGTGAAATGAACTCCAATGACAAAGAAAGTCAGAAAGAACTTTGGTCATTTGTTTAAACAGAATGGTAATGAAATATTTGCAAAATTATGCAGTTAAATTGTAATTATTTCAATAAAATGTATAATAGTTCATCATTAACAGTAAAGTACACCCACATCTTTAAAAAAATATAACAGTTTGCATATTTGCTTAATTTATATTAATATTTTATAAATATAGTGTTAGTTAATTAAAAGTTGCAAGCCAAATTCTAGAAAAAGCAATAGTCCAAAGGAAAAGAATGCAAAATAAAATACAAAATATAATATGTATGTAAAATTGTATGGAGCCGACTCCAAACCATTTTATTTTGTTTGGGGATTATTTTTAGTTTGTTATTCTATTCATTTTGGGACATTTTATTTTGTTAAGGATAGACTACCACACCTCACCCGACAAAATTCTAAACTAAAATTATCCTTACTATGATGACTGTTGGTGGCAACTAATTACATCATCAAACCCAGAAACTTCTCAGGGGAGACTTCCACAGAATGTTAAAAAAATGATCTCCTGCCCCGAATTGTCACCAAAATGCACAACAAAAAATTATAAAAGATTAAATGTAAAGGCATTGACACAACTTAAAGAAAGATTACTAGAATTAAACAAATGTTAGCTAGTCACTTAAGTGTGTAAATAGGGTTGAGTGAGTGCAGTGGTGTGCCATCCATGGAAGATGTGGATATGCCACTTCCCTTGTATTTTCTAAAATATAAATAGATATGGTGTGATTATTTTAATATTTTAACATACTTTGAATTACTTAAATTAATATTTTATTATAACTGCATTATTTATTTTATTAGAAATTTATGTATATGTGAAAAACAATGATAAGATTGCAATGATAAATTTTGAATACAGGTATACATCACCTTATGTTGGTAATTGGTTCCAGGAGAGGCGACATAAGTTGAATTTATTTGTCTCCGAATCTACTTGTCACTAGACTAAACCATAAATTACCATTCCCAGT